AAACATCGTCAATAATGTTTCTAGATACAATGATTAAATGATATTGTACAAAACTTTCTTTTTACTTCATCAGAATACCATCTTAACATAAAAGAATTGTGTTTCTTGTCTTACAAGTCTAATATATGGCATATTTTATTGCAATTTTATTGTATCAGCAAAGTAGTATTTACCATCAAAAAGCATTAAAACTGTAGTTAAATTCCTTAGCCCTAACATAAGTACAGAAATTCATTACGACCGTCAATATGTGCTTGTCTATGGACATGCTCAATAAAACCTATACTGCAACATTATCAATTTTGCCGTTTTGGACCTTCTTTAGTGATTTAATATTCCTCTATATTTTAGCGAATTTTAGTAAAATGATATAGTGAATCATCAGTGACTTAATGTGAAGCAGGTTGTTTGTTTCAGTATTCTTGAAATTATTGAGGTGCATGTCAAGGAAAGCTAAAATGAAATACACGTTTCCATTTCTATTGTTAACTTAATAAAACGTTTACTTGGCTAAGATTAAAATCCCCTCCTATGCCAGCGAGACAGTTACTGTGTTATTGACGGAATATTTATCTGACACTTAATGAGCATACCCTTGGTTCAAACAAAGAGATGTAAATCGCAATAATCAGAAATTGCATGCTTCCACGGAGTCAACACTTAAGTGTTTCCATACAAAGCGGTGCAAAAGTACTTCATCTCAAGTTAGTTTATCTTTTTTGTCGCATTAATATTCAAAATTATACGCTTAACTGTTTATTGAAGGATTTGTTTGAGATTTAAAATGTTTGTACAACAAAATAAATGACATTGTTTTAAACTTTATCACAGTTTAGAAAAAAAAAACTTCAATCATTCGTGCAGTCTCTTTATGTAACGGCATTTGTTCAAATATAAAAAAAGAAGAAAACAAAAAAACAGTGAAATAAATCTAAATAATTAGAAAAAGTATCAATTTATACGTACAATTAATATGTCAAAAAATATTGATATGTCATGTGTATTGTTTGTTCCATGTACACTTTGAAGATATTTTCTTAATATGTAAAGGTTTGTGAAAATATTTACAACTACATAATGCTTTTCTAAAAGACAGCAGATCTTTTTAACAAACATTCTTACGACAAATCTCTATCGTAAGAGAAATCTTATGATAAATTGTCCTTTTCACAAAATATCATAAGAAAATATTAGGTATAAAATCCGTCGTAACTTGACGATAGGTTTTCCCATATGCAAGTGTAATGTCATTTCCCTTATGAGTACAAGACCACGTATCTTTCATATAAACAGAACAAAACAAACACTATATAACTGATTTTGTGGGGGAAGGGGGTTAGAACTGTTTTCTAATTGTTGGAGGGGAGAGGGAGGTAAGAAATGTAATATGGAATTCTAAGGTTCCCGGATTTGAATCTGATCCGATCAGAATGTACATTTTCTCACTCTGTGATATTTGGCCATCATGGTATATAGCTGAACAGTTTCTCCGTACTCATGAAAAAATATGTGAAGATACTTAAATACAGCAGGGATGTCAGAGAATAAGCTGTTTTATACTTAGATGAGAAGATATGAGGACATATTATAGCTCAGTTGATAGAGCTGCAGAATGGTATTCATTGCATCCCAGGTTTAAGCCCCAGCCAGGCTGCGCATCTTTTCCACCCTATACGTTTTATTCATTGCCTGTTTGTAAACATTTTGTTTGTATACACATGCTGTCTGTAAAAAGAACATTTGGATCAAGATCTTGACCAAGAGAAACTTACATTGGGTAGTCTTCTAAATGTGGGTGTGTAGTAAGGAGTATGTTTTTTGGTTGGGTTTTACATTACATCAACCCAGTATAGACCATATGGCTACTGGCTGAGTAAGGTCTCAATGTCGTGCATTATTTCAGGCACGAACAGGCAGTGTAGTAAGGATTCATATAAGTTAAGGTCAATGTCAATGGAGTGTAAACTAGTTTTTACACATATGTTTCAACTGCTGTTTTGTCTATTCATATATCATAGGATGATACTATTAGTGGTCTTTTTTCTCTTTTCCCTGGAATATGATAATTACATAGCCTTTTTAAGGCTATAATCACATCCAATTTATATTGATATTTTCCGTATTTATAATGTTTTTATAATATGATGCTGAAGTGCACATCATGAACACAAATTCGTCAGCAGCTTAATGACGTCATCGTTAGTATGTAATTCATTCATAGAGGCTCCAGAGCGTCATTTTAAACTGCCATGGGTTGGGTTTGAAGAATGATAAATCGAGCACTGATGTAAACACAATACATTTCAGTGTGACAGTTTGATTTAAATTGCTGCAAACTCGATAAAATAAGTCTTGAATGTAACCCCTGTCACACTAGGGCGGCGTTCTCACAGCGTCGAAATAAAAATTCAGAAAGCCGAGATGAGCGCAGTAAGATCGCAAACATCGCCATAGCATCGCCACAGCATCGTAGTGGCATCGCATAAAATGCCGACCGGCGGCGCGCATTTTTAGCATGCTCAAAACAAACTTGGTGTTCTGATAAAAACGCAGTTGGATATCAGTGAGGACGCTATGGCAACTCAGTAGCATCTCATAAAACGCAGCAGGAGCGCCATGAAAGCGCAAAAGGAACATCAGAAGAACGCAGTGGTTATCCATGGCAATCGTACGAGTGCTTATACTTCTTGTACGGAGCTTAACGCTTTCAGCGCAGTGTGCACGCCGCAACAGCGCCGTAAAAACGTAGTGGAAGCGCAAATTGCTCAGTAGGAGCTCAGTGCAAACACAGAAATTGCCAAATTAAACGCCTTGGAAGTTGCGACGCATCGGCATGATCGCCGTGATGACACCGTGAAGACGCCGTGAAGTCTACATGTTACCACAAATTTCACTTTGTTATTGCAATCTCGCTGTGCTTTTTTATTTTAACATCGCCTTGCAAACGCAGTGAAAGCGCAGTCTAGTGTGACAGGGCATTAATAATGTGAATTTTCTTATTATTTCTTTTGTTTAATTTTGTTATATGCCTTAGCGCTAGTCTGGTGCGAAAAGGAACAGTGTTATATGAAAACCGGCAGCGGAAGTAAAATCCGCTTGAATAAAAAGCGTTCGTGATCTCCCTTTTTTGTCCTGTTCGAATCGAAATAATATCGATTTCAACGGTGTTTATTAACTGGGTGTTTGATGCGTAGGAATTTTCCATGAAGGCTGATTTTATTTTTGCATCATAATGACAAACCGGTGTGACATAGCAAATAAACACCGCTGAAACAGATATTAATTCGTAATTTTATCTGATTTTTACTGAGCAAATCTAAGATCAAACAATGTCACTTGCAAAAAAAAAAAAAAAAAAAAAAAACATAATAAGAAATAATACATAAAATGAAAAAAGGTGGTGGAAAACAAAATATTTAAAACTTGACTCAATCAAAAGCAGTCTATATTAAAATTTTCTTATCAACACTTAGATGTCTCTACTCAAAGCAGAAATGTCGGAACGATTTGTTAAAAGCACTTCATTTCAAGTTAATTGTTTTTTCCCCCTCTTTTTTTGTCGCATTAATTTTCAAATTTATATGCTTCATTATATGTTATTCAAAATGTTTTTGTGACACAATAAATGGCGCTGTTTAAAATTGTACCAAACTTTCAGAAATTTATTTTACAATATAATGGTAGTGAATAAGTGTTCATTCAGTGCTAACGTATTAAAAATACTCAACTTCATTCGGTTTCAAGCCTTTGACAGGTGTGTATTACGCTAAAACAAGAGCATCGAAACAAAATATTATCAGATTTGTACGTTGGGCGTAAGATTATCGAGTATTTTGATTTTCTTTCCTTTTTGTATCATAGGCAACAATAAAAAAAAACTTTCTTTTTCGTCATAATATGGAACACTAGAACAGGTGTTACCAATGTAAGAGTATCTGAATATTATGATCCTATGCCCTCTGATAAAAAGTAAATCTCAGACAAAATGTAGTATGCCCCGGCATATGCACTGCAAGTACCTGAACTCCAGGTATACACTGTGCATTCATAGGTATATGATTAAGCTCATTTTCAATAGAAATGTCTCCAAACAATTAGAACGCAGAAATGAATAAAATATCAATACGTATATATTGTGAAGTGCCAAAATTAAAATTGACACATTGACGATATTTGTTACATGCAAAGCTTGAATATGATGTATCTTATTTTATGATCAGAAAATTTCAATCTGAAGAAGACTGAAGGTGAATTAAATCTAATTACAATTTCCACAGTATATCATTCATTGGTTAGTTGATGTTCTACTTATGTACGAAGAGACACCATTTTTAAGTACATGTAGTTAAATGATTTTGTTATCTGTATGAGATAAAATATGATTTGTTCCTACATGGTTTGTGACATAAAACACAAAACCTTTCATTCTAAAACAGGAAGAATGTCTTACGAGTGTTCTTTTTTATGTAAACACCTATGACCTTTAGAACATTTATTGCAAAAAGAACATTGATTAAAGGCAAATTGCAACTCAGCTAAAACAAGTACAGACAAAAGTGTTTATCGCAAACATAAGGACGGTTGTCGACAAACGGACATATCACGTGACTCGAAAGATAAGAAAATCATATAAATTCTAGCGAACTGTCAGCGTCTGTAGAGAAGGGCGGATTGAATGTATACATTGAACAACAACCATGGTAAGAATTGTTTTGCATAATATACAATTCCGTTATTTCTATATTAATATAAGGATATTTTTTTTTCCTTTAGATATCTAGAAGTTTCTTAATATCATTAGCAAATATCAAGGTTGATAGAACACCAAGTTCTAGCATCGCCTATCAGCTATTAGATTCAGTAGAAGATTTTTTAATTGATCTACATGTCTTTTTTCTCTAGAATAGATAATTTGAGATTGTGATATATTATTTAAAATAAATTGTCGAGAAGTTTATTAATAGGTTTCTAAAAATGAAGGCATTTAAAGTGAATAGGTTCATTATGAAAGGTTTGCTATACATTCAAAATGACAAATTTCTATTGTTTTTATTAATTTTTGAAATTATTGAAAATGTGTCCATTGTACAAAAATCCACTTTTATTACAAATCTCAGTGCTTGCATATGTTCGTATACTAGTTACGTTTCAATATAACAAATATATTGATAGGTTTTCTTTTTTAAACATTTTGCGCGAACTTAAATAGAATAATATTGTTGCATTAGAAACAAACAAATATAACTAAACAGAGCTAAGTTAATATGACTTTAGACATACCAATATTGCAATAGTGGTTGTTGTCAAAATTAAACCTTCTTTGAAATATCTTATTAAATGTTAAAGCTTCTTTATTGTGTAAACTTGTCAGTTGCAGCTGATATATCATAAATAATTAAATACGAGTACCATGGTATGATATAAAACTGGTTCACTTTTTAATCATTAGAACAAAATAATTTCTTTGAAAATAATTTCTTTTATTAGCAATAGCTACATTTTTGTTTGGTCGATTGATATTTTTTTTATAAATTGTTATTGATAAAACATTTTAATATTTATTTGGAACATCAAATAATTCTATATCTTATTTTTGTTATTCTGTCAATATTTAAAATTATCTAACAATTCGAAAGATGACCATTTATTTCAAACAAGCATAATATTTAGACATTAAATGATTAAAGTAGTTGAATTGTGTCTGCTGAATTCAATAGTGTTTAATAGTGGGATTGAACAACGCTTCGCTCTCGAGAAATTAGATTTTGAATAAACAATTTTTTCCGTTTATTTCCCTCGGCTTTTTTTTATGAAATTAACAGGGAATACAGGAAAAGAATGATTTTTATTTGTCTTTTTACCCTTTTACACCGACATCATATTTCTCTTTTAACACGTATAAGCGTCTCGAGGCGATTAAAAGGATTATATTAAGCGCCGTACAGTCCTTTAAATACAGAGTATCTTTTGCAAGCGACCTGGAGCACCTCGATATTTTAAACTCAATTTACTTAATATGTTTGTAAAGGTTACACCTGTTTATTAAAGTTATCCTACAGCCTAAATATTGATTTCTTTTTTGTAAAATCAAAAACGGTTTTAAGTTGTATGATTATATTACTAGTTACTTTTATTATATTTACAATATTGATTAGTTTTGTTATCAAACAGGTAAACAGGTAAATTGAGCCTGCAACATTTTCAGTTTGGCCGTTTTGGACTTAATGTAGGAATTCTTTTTATCTCTGCTTTACTTGGTTCTCGGTAAAAGTTAAAAAATTGTATTTATTAAGTTTATTGTGGTAAAAGTGGCTACGCTTTGTGCAATAATTTATCCATCTGAGTTGATAGAAAAAAAGGCAATTGAATACGTTAAATGAAAGCAGTATAGAACCGGTTGCTCGAAAAAGATTACGGCCTGAAACACAAATATATATGTAGAGAAAGTTTTTACACTTAATTACTGGCAAACTCCTGACTAATATTTTGTTTTCGTTTTAAGTATTTATTACAAGTAATTTATAAACGTCTACAGGCTGCGATTATATTTTATTTTTATTCCGTGCATGTCAAAAACCTTACCTCGGCTGTTGATCCGATTTAAATTGTTTTTCAAAAATTATCAGTGACAAATTTCGCTTGTATTACATGTTTGACATGAATTAATAAATAACACCCTGTTCTGACTTAGTAATAACTCAAAACTTACTTTGATAAAACAAGTACGTCGTAATATTTGTGTATTTATCTTTTTATAGGAATCTGCATATCTGTGTTTGTTGGTTTGTGTTATAGTTGTTATTGTGGACTTTAATCAGTGCGATGCAGTTACACCAGGTAATATTCAAATTGATATACAAAATTGTTCACTGCAAAACCTTTATAACAATAACTTACCTTGTTACCGAATTGTATCAAATGAATGTTTTAGTGATGTAATGATTTAAATCTGCTTAACCAAGGCGTTAGAAGTCATCTAAACATTTGAATCAAATTGTTGTAAGGTACGCTTGATTGGTCACTTGGTATACGTATGTATTTCATTAGTTTGTTGCGCACGTCTAAAGAAAGCATCAATTAGAATATTTCGAGCTCAACTAGAAGCTAGCATGCTTGTTCGTGTTGACTATAGCTTGTGTACTTATAAGTATTACTTGCATATTTGTTGAGTATTACGTGCGCACATTTCAACTATGAAGTGACTCGTATTATTTATCACGTATTAAGGTGTTGTCAACCATGTTAATTTTCAGCATGTGCACATTTATATGCGTCTACATACACATACGTAGTAGTTAATAGCGCGTTGTTTTGAAATATGCACGCCCCCGCCCTACCCCATCTTCGCAAATATTTGCTGAGATAATGCAAGGAAGGGCACCTGACATTTTCAACCAGTAAAGCAGGACATTCGCCGTATGACCATTGTACAAATAGTGCGACCTGATATCCAACAACAACAACAACAACAACAAAATAAATAAAAATATGTTACATAAAAAACATCCTTTATGTCAAATAGTGTATTGTTATACCCATTATTTTTGCATTTATAACAAATGTTTATTTTTTAAAAAAAAATTATCGTGTTCAACATTTACAGTTACGTTTAGTTACTTATATTTAATTCTTGTTCATTACGAGGTGTCTTAAATTTTGTCTTTCATATCAATATATATCTGAAATTATGTAACTGTCAAACAATAATCAGAACAATAAAAGAAATATTTAAGTCAAGCTATCGCACTAAAGTTCATTAAAATCTGACAAGCCATCTAGTGGTTCTAGCTTAAATTTACTTTACAGACTATGGCGCAATTAGTACTTACATACTCTCATAATCAGTTGCAAGTTTTGAAGAATTAGATGAGCCGTATTGTGTAAATAGACCACTTAACCATTCAAAGATAATGTACTATCATTTTCTCTTAATAAATACCATTTGACATTATATTTCAGTATTAAATGACAATTGTACTGGTTCAACTGATTGTTCTACCACAAATCATATTATCATACTTAGAATACCAATAAAATCAATAAAATCATTGACGTCGGGTTTCTTTTTTCAGTTATTGGCAAAGCATGCAACAGTTCAACTGAATCAACTGTGTGCACTCTGAAACACTCTGTATGTACTTCTTCAGCATGTGCATGTGAAACAGGTTACACGAACAAGAAGAACCAGTGTTTGACAGGTTAATTATGGAGTAACAATCGAAGAATATATTATGATTTTATGAGGAGCGAAATCGTTTTTCGTACATCATAATAATTATTTTTTTTTTTGAAAAAAAAAACAAAAAAACATTTTGTATGTTTCACTATATCATACGTTTTATTCATCTTCAGTTCAAATTAATCAATTCACATGCTATTTACATATATTTTAATTCACATCAAACCAGTCTGATAAAAATTAGTTTGGTCCATTTCAACTTGTATCATTTGATAAATGCTTAACATAAATAATTAATGCATATGGCATTACTATTATACATTACAAACATGATTTTATCAGCAGATTGTAATGCCTTTTAATAGAATAAATGTGAATAGTCATTAATGATAATTATCACCAATTTAGTTCTTGGAACTCCATGTGGCTCAACGAACGCATCGACTGTTTGTACAACGAAAAATTCTGGATGTTCTACAGCCGGCAAGTGTTTCTGTCCTGCGAACTATGTAGAAGAAGATGGGATGTGCCCTAATGGTTTGTACTTTGTTGTATGATGAAGAAATTTATTGCTTCAAATATGATTGATTGGTTAATTTTATTCAGGGTAAATCGTATATAAACATATACACAATAAATACACTTACACATTTATAATAAAAAATCGTAAATGAATATTAAATAAGTTTGTATAACTGTACTTTATGAACATTTTGCATTTTGTTACAAATATCTGTATCAAAGGAAGTTCATTTTAAACAAGAAGTATCTTTAAAAAGATACTCGGCCGAAGTCAAACTTGTTAACTTACATAGGATAAGCTTAAACTAACCATGCTAACCGCAAACAGAACATTCAATTCGTCCTCAATAGTTTTATTTTATTTCATTTTTACCCGCAATGTTTTTCCACATTAATTGTCATCATAGATTTAAACAATATAACTTACATTATTTGATTTTAATCAAAGTGGATTTTGATTTGAATAGGAATTTATAATGAAACATTTAGTAGATACTGTACACTAATTCCACGGAGAATTTTGCAACTGTAAATTAGTCGAAAGTTGGTTTCAATCGTCTTATGCCCGATTCGAGAAGAAAATATAATGACTAGAACAGCTTAGAAGAGAAACCCAATCGAACGCAAAAGTATCAAAAAGGCGATCTGTCATATGTAGGTTCATATCTGAAAAGCTGTTAGAAACATCTAGAAAATATCATTATTGTGTTTTTATATTCAATCTGACTTAATATCTTTTTCCAACACTTCTTGCCATCGCGCAATTGAACATAAATCTACCTATAACGGGAGCTCTTCTAAAGTATCAATCGAACAGACTATATGTGTTAAAATGACCAATGAAAATTCTGCCTATATTCATTTCTTTACTGTTAGTTTTAGCGGAAGTCGAGGTGATATCAGAAGGCCTTCGGCCGAAAAAAACAAAAAAACAAAGTTAACAACTAAAACAAGGCTTCAGGTATAACTTATTTGCCTTTGACAAGATAAAGTGCTCTTTTTACTGCCAGATTTACGGTAAAATAACGAGGAAAGTGGAGCCAAATGATCTCGCATTTTCTCGATACCGACGTCAACGAAATGAAGCCCCATATTTGTATTCAACTACACAAATAAGAACCGTCAAAAGCTTCAATTATAAAATCCCGACAATATGCTGTATTTTACTGCATATTTCATACCTTTTTAAACGTTCTTTCTTAGCTTTGGGTCAAACGTGCATAGCAGCCACGGACTGTGTATCAAATGCTGACTGCGATACAACGGTCAAAACTTGCAAATGCAAAGCGGGATTCGTTGATACAAGCGGATTGTGTGCAAAACGTAAGCAATATATTTTACAAACGTTTTAAATATGGTGAAAGTCAAGTATCAGATCATTTAAAGATAGCATAGACGTACTCCATTGCTATATAAATTAAAACATATTTTTATTCAAGCACACTTTAAATTGTTATAGAAAAGCAACACGAAGTTCAGATGTACTTTTCTCATAAGAAAGTGAAATTTCCTGTAAGTGAAATTGGCTAGTTTGGGATTATACCTTACTATTTCGCTGATTATTCAAAAAGAAGGGTACGTAAAATATTATGTTAATATGATCAAATGCGACTGTACCCCAAAATTTATGTAATATTAAAACTTGAGTACATTCCATTATCAATACAAAAAGTAATATTTGTTGTAATATAACTTTTTTACAGCATCATCCGCAGTGACAATAAAGATTACTTTGAGTACTTTTGGCATTCTGATGTTTTTAAATGTCATACTGAAAGCGTTCTAAAGTAAGATTGTTTATATGTTTCTTAAATATTCATATATCAAGATAATATTTTCTAAAGACATTGACACTTTTTTCTAGTATTAATTATACATTTATTTATTTCAGTATTAACAATTTTTAAGTTACATTTAATTATTTGCAAAATTGGTCTAAAATCTTCATTTTTATTGTAGGTGGTATAAAAGTGTGTGAGAGATTAAATACAGAAACATTTGTGTTCACTTGATGCAGATATAGAAATTAAATGTCAAATTATTCCTCTGTGTGATACAATAAACGTTTACTGTTGCCATATTTAGTGGTTTACGACGTTATTTGAATGTGACGCCGTGTATCATTTATGCCTCGATTTGGAGAGAAAATAGCTGTGTTAATTAAATTTTAGATTATTTGATAATTATGTTTGAAATAAGCGATCGTTTAGCGAAAAACTGTCCCCGCCTATTGGTAATTCTTATTTTTCTGATATGAAGTTTGTCCGTGTATTCGAAGAAACTGACAGTTCTTGAACTTTTGTACTATATTGTATTATTTTAACTTTGACGGTTTTAAATTAAATCTGACAAAAAGAAATAAAGAGGTTATTACCCATAACGTAAGGCAGTAATGTTTCTTATGAATTATGCCATATACCAAGTGGTTAGGTCACGCGAATTCGTGAAGAACATTTGATGCTGAATACCACGTTTTGTATTATTGTGGAATTCACCGTAATAAAGGATAAAAGATTGCATATTAGTTCAAAAATTGTTATAGTCACACTACTTTACCCTTTAAGATTAGTTAATCTAATCTTTTTTGACATACACTTTTATACCCACATGTCATATGGCATATGTACATTATTAGGTAATACAACATAAATATATAGTTATATTACTTGAAAAAATAAGCGACGTCAAGTGATCAAACATCTTGAATTGTTCTTTTGCACGATATTGTACACGAGTTTATTTCAATTTAATTGTTGTAGCTAAACAGTTTACTTCTGAAGATAAATGTATGTATCAACAACCACTACTGCGTTTTAATTTTCCAGATTCTTGCAGAGAGGAGATACAATTGATCTTACAACCCTCGTACAATATAGTGTAGTGATATGGTCATCTTCTACTTACTCTTTCCTGCCTTATTTTGTTTTTCTTTTTTGTTTTCGTAATGATTATTTATATGATGTGTTGATCTTCTTTTTCAAATATATTTAACTAACAATTAATTTTTCTGTGATTTTTATCTGTGATTTTTTTAATCTTATGTAGCGTTTGGGCACATTTACACTTTGTTATTATAAACCATATTGAACAATTGTTTTAATTTTCAAATGAACATCATCCTTTAAAATGTGAATTTGTTATTACAAATAATTCTAGCATTTATTTTGTATATAACATGCCTGAAGATGGTTTTTAGAGTTTTGCCTAGTTATATGCTGAATTATTTCTTTATCACGGAATGGCTTTATCATTTTACATCATTAGAAATAAAGTGTAAAGATCGGTTTACGCAAAAAATTTGACAGTGTTAGAAACAGTTTAGAAACGTTTACGTCTTGTTTAATACAACTTCACTAAAAATGTTTTGTTAGAAAAAAATCGAAGGAAAGAGGAACACCCCGTACAAGCTATATCATACTACAACAACAAGATAAACTTCATAATAGACATCAATAAAAAACAACAACAACAACAGCAATATGATATAAACATTTTACCATACATTAGTGTTGTAGGTAATGGCAAAAAATATCTTACAATATATGAGTTGAATCAACAATGAATAAACATGTCACAAATGAATGAGAAAATGTCTATTCATTATTAATCAATCCATCATCTAAACTAATATAATTGTATCAGTGTCCGCATATTAGGTTTTATTCCCATCCGATTGGCATATGAACATTTTAAAGCATGTTGGTCATTTGAAAGTATGATCATGTTTAAGGTATTATCAATGATTGGTATGATGGTAAATGTGAACAATTATGAACCCTTTTATTGGACTTGCGTGCATCAACACCATATTATATATTGTTTGGTTATTAGAAACATTAAATGTTGCAGGCCATTTGATATCAAACATGTTTTTATATGATCATTAAACAGTTGCTCAAATAAGCATGTCTGTTTTATTTTTATCCGAAAGGACGTTATCAATGTTCTTTGTCATTATATAATCATCAAACATTACAAGGTATTAAAACATTTTCTAAGATAAACAGAAGATGTTTCCAAAATATGGAGTGCGTTGTTTGGTAACAGTAAGTTTATTTGAGAACAATATCTAAAAAATCATCGTATCGCTTTTAATAGCATCGTTATGAGTGGCTCTGCAAAGATAACTGTCTTTATAACAGGTTTTTCTATTCGAGTCAGTCCTTACGTGACGTTGCCCTCCTGTGTGTGTTATAACGAACAAATTGGTCATTGTATGCTGGATAGACAGATAAGATTATACTTGGATTTTGATGATAAAACTATTCTAGACAGCCTTCCATTTTCTTAGCATTGTTGATATAAAACATATTTTTAACAACACATTACTCACTATAGCTTAATATATTTATCATCAATTTTCAATAATACAATAATGTAATACAATAACTTATCGAGATACAAAATAACATAAATCTTATACTTGTATCATAGTTTGGAGATTCATTAAAATATTTGTTGATCGTACACCCATATATGTACAGTGCGTTAGTTGGAGTGCGGTTACTAGCAGTCCAGTTACAGAACTGTCTGTCGAAAAATTGAGCATGCTCGTTTACTGAATACATTTTTGCTAGGGATTTCTTATTGTGACGTAAAAAAGATAAAGATAAACTAATCCATATGCTCGTACATTGGTTGTATTGTTCTGGGGTTTACATATTTTGATGACAGGGGAAATATTTTCAGTTTTGCCTATGATAGAGAACAACAAAACTCGGCAATGTGATTTAAACTCGGGGAATACGTCCCCTCGTACAAATAAGATAGCCTCGTGTTTAGATGTTTTTTCTATTACAAATACATTTTTATTAATGTCTTCGGTCAAATATATTGCTTAAATGTTCATGGATGTGCTCGTCACTTAACTTTCGGGAGTGAAAGGGAAGATAAACCGAAGTGACCAATTTCTGACAATATTTTCTGACCTTTCTTCAAGATCAGTCAGTTCATTGCAACACAGACAAAATGCAACCCAGCTAAAACAGGTTCAGACAAATGTATTAATTGTAAATAGAAGGACGGTTGCCAATTGACTGGCATGTGACGTGACAGAAAAGATAAGAAAATCATATAAATTCTAGCGCATTGTCAGTGTCAGTTGAAGGACGGCAGATTTAATTTATACACTGAACAACAATCATGGTAAGACATGTTCGAATAAGTGACAATTCTGTTATTTCTATTTCATCATAGGATATAAATGTTAACATGTAAGTGATTATTTCATTTAACACAGTACCATGCACACATGTAAATACATAATCAAAACGTCTGAGGCAAAGTTACACAAGTCATGTGTAATGTCCATTCATTTTTTTTTTGTAATAGTAGATTTAAATTACTTAGATGCATATTATAAAGTATTCAAACTATGCAATAATTACCACTTATGTGGACATTTAATTTTTTTACAAGAGAGACATAAATAATGTAGCATTGTTAATTTTTAAGGTTTTAAAAGAAAATTATCAGAAGTCTTTCAAGTAAGTGTTAACTTTTACGATAATATTTATATGTTTCAAAGCAAGAATATGTATATAATTATGGTTGATTATCTAACTATTTATCATGATTCTCAATAGAATTTGTACAAGTATTCCAATGAAATTTTTTTTTGTTTCGGAGAAGGCATATTAATAAGTTTCAGTGAAGCTTAGTGGTTGTAATCAAAATGCCCTGTAATTTATTTCAGAATATTTGAGGCTATGTCCCAGCTATTTTAACCTTCTATTGTTGGACAAATGCTTGTCTCTCTTAAAAGCATCTGACTGACTAAGTACAATACCCAAAGATGGACAGTTCTTCTTAAAGTCCCCTTTAACGAAACTGAATTGCAACTGTTTTGCTATGTCTGAACCTTATATGTGTATTTTTTGTTGCCATGCCTTCGTTAAAGGCGTCGAGTATTTTTCATATGGTCATTAGGCAATAATTTTATGCTTCCTGAAGGGTGATCATATAGTCAATTGCTTTTTAAGAGTATACCGTATGTCAATCACAATCTTGGTTTGATAATAAATTGAAATGCTTTCACATAGTGAAAGAGGCCAGTGGCATAAAGTGAAGGCAATGAGAGAGCGCTGTAGTTTGTATCACCTGATCAAAATTATGGCTTGATTTTATCGAAATTCATAATTGTTAATAATAAAAACAATAAAAACAATACATTTTCTTTACTTTAAACTATACAGTTTGCAAAATATAATTCTTATGGAACATTATCACACAAAACGTAACTAGTTTACTTTATCAATCTTGTAAAATCGACCATTATTTGTCAAACTTAATGTAATTCATGAAACAGACGTTCATGAGACAGTTACTGTGTTATTGATTATTTAATCTGACACGTGCTGATCAAACACTTTGTTCAAACAATTAGTTGCAGAACGCAAAAAAGTGAAATGATTTAACTTTACAGAGAGGAAGCATGCATTTCAGATTTTAAAATCAACATTCAAATGCTTTTACATGAAACGGTGCTGTTGGTACAATTAAAAAAAAATACTTCAACTCCATTTTCATTTATACTTACATTTATACCCTAAATTATACATTGAAGAATTTGTGATTTAAAATGTTTGGCTAAGTAAATAATTGACAGTTTCAAATTTTAACGCTCTTTGAGAAAGACGTATTTAAATTAAAATCATTTCTGCGGCACAACTCGAAATCTAGACGAGCAGTCCAAATGAAAAAAAGTAGAAATTTATGATCACATTTATTATGAAAAAAATGAGCATGACGAAAGGTATTGAAAGGGTAGGTTGATATTGGAGCCATGCATACATGTATCTTTTTAGAAGATTATCTTATATCTGTCGATGTATAATGTAAAAGATGTATTTTTTGTATTTAATATCAATAACAAAGATGTGGAAGACTGTACAGGTTATGCATTTAATCTAATTATAATTAACACACAATATCCTTGATTGGTTAAGCGGTTATATTGTAACTTAAATACATACATATTCCAATTATGGCAAATTTCAAAATGTACCACCGTTATTACTATTATTATGTGTACCTCTTAAATGAACTAATATATGTTTCTAACAGTAGCAACTGGTGTGCATTGAAAGCAATGGCTGGAATATTTGCTACTTAAAACAGTCCTATGCAAGTGAAAGATCAGCAGTAATTTAACCCTCGTAATACTTCGTCATATAATGAAAATATTTCGTTACTTAGCATGGCAACAACTCATATAGTTTTATGTGATATTAGCTTAAATGAACAATTTTTTTTATTCTGACTGTTTAAAGTATTGCTTAAAAACATAGCGAAACGAAAATAGTAATAAATATTAAAAATTTAAGAAATATCTCTATTTGGAAAATATATGCTTTGTATCTTGAATACCACCAATTGATTCATTTCGATACATTTTTTTATATATATGCATTTAACATGCTGTTATCTGTTTGTGTATTTTAATAAAGGAGCCTGTATATCTCTGTGTGTTGCCCTGTGTAATAGGTGCTGTTGTTAACCTATACACAGGAGCTGCGGCTTCATCAGGAGGTAATTGAGCTTAAGTTGCCCTTAACACCTCCTGGTATCATAAAATAGAGTGAAATAAGAATCCCTAAAGAAAGCCCAACACGACAAAATTGAAAATGTTGCAGGCTTGGTTTGATTGAGCCTGTTCATGGACGGTACTGTCAAGTGCAAACTACCGTCAACGCCCTTATCACCGGCTTAAGCAGAATTCAACATTTAACATGAACTGGTAAAATTTAGAATTTTGAAACATCCGCAGATGTGTTCATATGGCAGTTATCATGGAACCTTCAGTGTGACACATTAGTGCCATTCCATGAAAAGCGGCATATGATCCCCAAGTTAAAAAATGCGTGTGCCCTAAAGGAGAAAACAATGGGCGGAACTAAATAAAATGGAATTTTGAAAGGGGTTCTGAGGTTATGAAGCCTGCATATCACAGATATAACGTCAAAAGACAAATTTAAAAAGCAGGCCTCATATCCTAAGGGTGATTCAACAGTATTCAAGTGAGGAAACTGAAACTGAAACTGTTTTATTTAATTAAACGCCTATTTCTATATACATATTCAATGGCGTTTTACAAAAGGATAAAAAAGTATATGTACATATAGATAAAAAATCACATATGCATGACAAATGTACTACAAAAAATAAGTTAAAGATATCAGCCGTGTAAAATATAAAGTATTAAAAACTTAAAAAAAAGAATAGTTATAAAAAATAATAATAAAAAATAATTTAAAAGATAATAAAAATAAATGGTTATTTCAGTAAAATTTTAAACACATTTCCACATCTCGATCAGTTTACAGCCCAATCACAATCTTAAAACAATGCGTAAAAATCTCTAAAATAGTAGGTTTTGACATTTTTCTTGATTCTGAAATTTCTTGAACTGTTCTGGCTCTTTGTACTTTCTCCAAATTCTCTCTTTTTTCCGGACAATACGCTTAGATTTAAATATTGACTCATTGAACGAAGGTTTTTGAGTTCTGCATATCCTTATTTGTTTCTTTGTTGGAGCATGTTTGTCGATAACAGATTGGATTTATGATTCAAACAAGTTTACAAAAGTATTGACATCTTCACTATCAACTGAAATCTTCGTCAAATCATCAGAGAATTCAGAATGGGATATGCTTTTCCAGTTTCTAAATTGTACAGATTTACTGGTAATGTTTTCTTTCTTCTCATTAATGACTACGTGGACAGCACAGTGATCGGAGAGAATACTGGAACCACCCAACAAGAAAGATGCCGAATAGATAGAACTAAAATACCACAAGCACAATAATGTCGTGCTGAACGATCTTTAAGGATCGAAAATATAACATCCCTGACTGAATGTACGGGGCAACTTTTTACAGCCTCCACACGGCACAAACAACGCTGATGTGGCGATAAAATAGAGTGAAATAAGAATCCCTAAAGAAAGCCCAACACGGCAAAATTGAAATTTTTGCAGGCTCGGTTTGATTGAGCCTGTTCATGGACGGTACTGTCAAGTGCAAACTACCGTCCACGCCCCCTAGTACCGGCTTAAGCAGAATTCAACATTTAACATGAACTGGTAAAATTTAGAATTTTGAAACATCCGCAGATGTGTTCATATGGCGGTTATCATGGAACCTTCAATGTGACACGTTAGTGCCATTCCATGAAAAGCGGCATATGGTCCCAAGTAAAAAAATGCGTGTGCCTTAAAGGAGAAAACAATGGGCGGAATTAATTTACATGGAATTTTGAAAGGGGATCTAAGGTTATGAAGCCTGCATATCACAGATGTAACGTCAAAAGACAAATTTAAAAAGCAGGCCTCATATCTTAAGGGTGATTCAAAAGCATTCAAGTAAGGAATACTGGAACAACCCGACAAGAAAGATGCCGAATAGATATAACTAAAATACCACAAACACAACAATAACGTCGTGCTAAACGATCTTTAAGGATCTTAAGGATAATGTGACGCTCCCTGCATATACCGATATTCCTTTTAATTCGAATCAAGGTTTTATTAGTAGACTGGTATAGAAAAAACTTCAAAGATATATCTTTAAAACAATTTTTTATAAAATAGTAAAATGAAATTTATAGTCTAAACATATGGACACTTCATATAATTTAAAAGGGATAAAATAGAAACTTCTTTAAAACAAATATAATGAACTTATTTCAGTTTGGGAATACAACCGGATTGTTCTTCAGTTCTAGCAAACTATTTTTAAATGTTCTATTTCGAATGCCTTATAATTCAAGTTTTCGGTTCCAACTGCACGCACACATCAAATTGTTTGAGTGCAGGAAATGCCTCGTGTCCATCAAATACATGTCAATGTGATACCAGCTTTAAAGACGTGGAAGGGAAATGCACCCCCAAGAGTATTTTTTACTATCATTTAATTCTGTTAAAACACGATCTAACTTAAAAATTTCAAGCATAAATTTATTAAAATACATTTAGATGCAAACTGTGTCAGTTGTCTTTAATATAATGTGACACAATATTCTATTAACAATGATATTTCAAGGAAAAAATCAACAGATGTTAATTTTCCTGAAAGTTTTAAAAGTTTACATTGGAGAAATAATGAAGTGACAAAATGTCAATATTTATAAGGTAGAAGGGTTTAAGCAAATTTGATTTTGCACTGGATTTCTTAAATTGCATTATTTTTTAACCTGTGATTTTGTAAACGATGCTTGGTTCAAATAGACAAAATATTAAAAGACATAATATTTCTTCATGGTAAAGTTTGTTTCGTTTCTATACATTAAAATGATATAAGCCACTGTTTTTTCTTCAGTTATCGACAAACCTTGTAATGATACAACTGAATCGACTGTATGCACACTAAAGAACTCCAAGTGCATTTCAAAAAGTGTAGATGTAAATCAGGTTACAAGAACAAAGATGACACATGCTTGAAAAGTATTTACGTTTGATCAAAAACCTTTTTCGTATTCAATGATATATTAAATGAACTCATTTTTAAAAAAATGGATATTTGCATGTTTCTTTTGTATATCTGTAGGCTATAAACATTGCATAAACTAATCTTTATTTATTTTATGATTTTAAAATAATCCACTAAAAGAAATATCAGCTGAATTAACAAAAATTTGACCAAATGTAGCAAAACTATGAAGCTTGTCCTGTCAAACAATTTTGAGTATACCCTCTTGGTATTAAAATACTCATTTCAGTTCTTGGTACTTCATATAGCACAACATCAGATTGCAATGACCCGCCAATGCGGATTGTCTAAAAAACAAATGCTCTTGCAAGGCAACTTATGTTGAGGAAAATGGAGTTTGTCCCAAAGGTTTTATTATCATATATAGTTTTAATCATAAAATACATGTATGTCAAAATTGAAAATATTTCAGATTATTTTGTAAAATTGGAGAGTGAATTTTGTCATTTATCTTTATATTTACTTCATAATTGGTAATATTCGGCAGAACCATGTAAATCTTACTTTCATCACTTAAAATCATTTTGCTCAGCATTTTCTTTAACTCGAGTGATAAAAATTCCAATGCGTAAACAGAGTTAATCATACTTTTCTGAACCTCGATTACATTGTATTTATCAAAACGTAAAATACTTTTCAATAAAAGTTGAGCAAAAATGAACGTCCATGTAAGAAACATTATAACCAAGAACAAGCGTCCGTAATCCTAAATTGTTTTTCATTACATGATATTAAAACTTTGGAATATCTTTGAATTTAAATGAAAGCATATTGGAAATGTCTTACCAAGCTTTTAATACACATTATCAGACAGGAATACAATCACTATGAATGCTTGAATTGAACAACTTTGTTAAATGAAGCTTATTCAATCCTTTAACAATTTGAAATAATTTATAAACGAGTTTTTAAAAGTATGTCACTGAATAGAAAAAGATTTCACTACATCTAGTTTTAAATGTTTTTATTATCAATTAACACTTGTATCTTAAATTCCATTTAGCGGCCGGTCAAAACTGTTCAACAATTACGGATTGTGGTTTAAATGCTAACTGTGATAAAGTTTGAAGTCCTTGCAAATGTAAAGACGGATTTGTTGCTTCAAGTGGATTGTGTGCGAAATATTTGATTATATATATTTCAATATTTGATGATAGCTTCACAAAAATAATTATTATAATTCATTTCTGTAAATGATGAACCACTCAATACATTTCGATTCAAAATGAACCTAGTGGAAATTTTTATGAAATATCCTTTTTCTATTTTCCATGAATTTTTGCTTAAACTCAAATGATTAAATTCATACGACTACTTGCACTTTGGGCGGACGATATTTTTTAGCTTTTACTGAAATTAGAAACCGTTTTCTGCTATTTATACACTGAGGTTAATGTTCAGATGCAAAGATATTAGGTCTCAGTCAAATTTGGGGAATTTATTTTTATATCACTCTTAATGAACCAAATCAACGAAATGGTATACATATTATATATTTTTTTTAAATGGTATAGGGGTTCTTTTTTGCATGTATATATAATAATATGTTTCGCTGTTCATTGCCTTATGATTGTGTCAAATTGTGTATGGCCATCTATGCCGTAAGTGCATCACATCTTTCTTAAACTAACTAGATAGATATAGAATTTTAGAGTCATCTATATCACATTATTCTTCAACAGCGTCGTCAGCGGTATCATCCAAGATAGCTTTGAGCACCGTATGTATACTGATGATGTTGAATATTATCTATAAACTGTTGTAAAGGTACGTGTTAATACCAATAAAACCTTTATATATAATAAGACTTAAGTCTAACGAACCAGACCTACTTTCGTCTACAATTAAGCTTACGCATATATGAAATATTACATTCTCCAGAAACATTCAATGCAATTTAATACAATAACAAGTTAAGCTTTCTTATAACTTAACACCTCTTTGATTCTTTTGCAACCTTAGACATTTTCTTCACTTAAACACTTCAATGTTCTTTTTTGTAGGTCATGCCGACAAAGATGGATAAAGGGAGAGTATTGAGCGCGTGTGTGTATATTCATTCTTTTTTGTATTTCTCTCCCTAAACTTAAGATAATTATTTTTACAGTTTTGTTAGGTAGCGATTTATTGAATTGCTCTTTAGGCAACAATTATTTATTTCAATGAACTTGTTGTAGTTTCGTACACTACAATAATGTAGATACAAATGATGCTCAGATAAAGTTTAAGGGAATCTGCTGAGGTTGTTCATCATAACGTGACTTAAATAAGTTTAGAAGTTTTATTAAGTTTAAAAGAGGTTTATGACTATCCGCTCACTCCGTTTGTCCGATATTTTTATAGTTCAATATTATCTAAAAATGAAAAGCATTTAAACGTGTTTTATTCAAATTGGAATGATAATTGCATTTATCGATTTTTCAATTGGATTTTGAGTATATTTCTTTATTGTTCCTTTCTGTCATTCAATTTTAAGTGCCCCAGTTAATCTATGTAATATTTTCAACTTTCATGTTTTCTTTTTATGATTTTGACATTTTGACAAAATATGTTCCTATATTAAGACACTTATTGTTTTGTTAATGTTCAGCAAGCAGTATATTTTTCCTAATACAAGTACTGTTCTAAGGAAAATATTATCTAAAAAGCGCATTGTGATATCTTAAGACAACAAATTTGTGCAAAAAAGTAAAAAAAAATAACTCAATATGTTCAACTCGCCCTTCATTTGCTGTAATTCTGGTCTATTGTTAATATGTTTTCCCTTTTTCAATATCAAAGATAAAATATTTTTGAACACTTTTCAAATGAGCATTTTAGTTTGAAATGTGAAATTTGTTTTGTACAAATAATTCTGAACATTATTTTGTATCAAACATGCCTAAGGATATTTTTTGAGTTTTGTCTAATTATAAGCGATGTGGATTCAATAATTTCAAATTGGCTTTGTCTTTGTTTAAACTTTAAGAATGATCTATATCGTCTGAAGATGAATTTTGCGCATTATTCTTTGAACATCAGCAACAACAGTAACAAGTCCAGCAATGCTATTACAAACGAGGAAGAGAGACGGCAACATCAACGACACTTATACTTTATGATGCCAGGTTACATGCACTGTAACAGCATGACCATTTATTGAAATGTTTCATATGTATGGGCAAAATCGATGAATATACATGTATATGAAGCAAAACAACCAATACGCAGTTAAGTACACATGTACTGATAAACATAATAAAATTGCTTGTGTAATCGGAACACTAATACAATAGCAGTTATTTCTGCATGTTTGACATAATTCCCATCTGATTTGCATACGAACATTCTAATTAATGTTGCTTATTTGAAAATAGAACAAATCTTTATAACTGTATTCATCATTTTGTAATTAACGATTAAAATAATAGCATACCATTCTGACATTTCTTTTCAACTATTATAAAACAATGAAATACATATTTTCGTTCATTTGAATATTTAGATATTGAAGGCTTATGAATATGAAATTATAAGTTCATGATCATTAAACAATTGTTCTATGATTGACATTGTTGTGATTTTGAATTATGGACGTTATCGAGGTAATTAGTCAAATGAAAGTGATGTAAATTTTGAGATAAAATATTCATGGTAATGTCTGGGGTTATAGGCTAACAGAGACGAGATACGAGAAACTTTTGAACCCGTTCCTTGAACCAGCCATTATGTCATGGGAAGTTTCTTGCTCAGTGAGACAAGAGTTTGCTCTTAACGGGATTGGAACCCACGCGTTCGGAAATTATTATAGTACTAGTCTGACGCATTAATCACTCGGCCATGTCGTCACGTTATATTTTATACGATTCAAATCAATTATGTTTGGCGTGGCAAAAAATGTGTAATTCAGTGAAAAATATATTTAGATGACTTCACGTTATAGTATAGATACGCACGTATGACGTGGTTGGGGTTCATATGGCGACTTGTCCAGTTTTACTGATAAAGGGTAATGTTAGGTCACCCGCTTTTCAATATTTCATATGAAAATTATTAAGGAAAAAAATGTTGTTTTTAAGTTGTTTGTTGTTTAATATCGCACGATATGGAGAACAGATGCTCAGTAATAAAATCACGAAGACGGTAGATCTAAGTGACTAAAAACAAACATCTGGACGACTTTTGTCAAATATTTGACTACGCACTCAAATCCAAAATACATCCGTTACAAATGTTTTGTCTCAAGATCATTCAATAGGCATTACATATGTTCCCTAAAATCATCTTAACTGTTACTGTGATATTGCCCTTGGAAACAGATGTCTGAATGTTGCGCGTAACAATGTTCATATTGCGCTTACAATGGTTCATATATTTACAATATAATGCATGTAGAAAATTTGACCTAGATAGATAGATAGATAGATAGATTAGATAGATATATTCTAGCATTTATTTCAAAATAAAAATTGAACTTGGGTTATATTGTTTTGTGGTTAATTTCACTATATATCAAGCAAATTGTATAAGTGCGACTGTATGAATGGTCGCATATGTGCGTTGATATTAGTCTTATCATGCTGCGCATTTAATGGTTATATCATTGACATTTATTCCCAAGTATCGTATTTCTACCCGGCCATTGATCACTACCTTACAGTGTACAGTGCCGTCGCGAAACTTTTCCTTTTCACTGCTTCACAGACGTTACATGGTGATGAAAGTCGTATGACGTAACATCAAAATTCAAATGTAAATATCGAACATTACATAGAAAATCTAACGTCATTTTTTCTTTCCGTTTTATTTTTAACTTTTCATACCTGCGTTCGTTATAGCTTATCAAATCAAAGACTGACAAGGGGGATTGACTGCGTAGGAAATTGCGACGTCGCAATTATGAGACGTAACCATTGTCATATTTTTAGGTAGATTTATTTACCCTTGGATAATCTTCACATATCCCTCGGTGATTATCTGTTGCACTGTATTGTGCGAGGAAGTTCAATATCATTTTCAAATATGGGGACTATGGTTGTAGGCACATTACGTTGATGTTGTTTTAAAGAATTTTTTTCGTTCTTTCCTTGTACTTGTCATCATGCAACAACCGCAATACTCAAAACATGAGTTCAACCTAAGGTTGAAGCTTATACTATTATTAATGATCGGCGCTCAAATTGCCGTTAATGAACACATTGACATAGTTCTTTCTGAAAATTCTTGGTTGGTAGAGTGCGGCAGACCAGTGCCCAGTCAAGTGCCAATATTGCTCGTTAAGTCAACAAATCTATACATACACTACGAGGATTGATCCAAAAGTTCTCGGCCCGATATACGTCTAGCCGCTACACTGACATTTACACACAGTACGTCGATACCGATATCTTATTGAAGATTACTGACCGAGTTACACGCGGTTTTACACAGATTAAGTAACATAAAACACACTTTGATCAGAAGAGGGGTATGTCATTTAGACCAAATTGAGAAAGTTGAAATCAGACCCGTCATGAAGTACTTCTGTAAGAAAGAGATGTCCCCCAAGGCAATCAATGAACACTTCATGGATACATTAGTGAAGGAGTCCCCTTTCTATAGCACTGTGAAAAAGGGCTGGTGAATTTAAGAGGGGCAGGTAGAGCATTGGAGATGATGAACGGCATGGGCGGCCAAAAAGAGGCAACCAACTATGAAACTGCCGAAGCTGTGAACGATCTGATCATGTGCAACAGAAGGCAATACCTGCGAAACATTGCTAGGGAAGTAGGTATAATCTTCATAATATAATATCATATAATATAAATATTAATCATATATTCATATAATCTATGGTTCAGTTAAGGCAATTCTGACTGATGTCTATGGCATGGTTAAGGTTTCTGCTAGATGGGTCCAAGGCTTGACATTTCAAGATATCTTTTGTCTCGCTACGAGGTTGAACCTGATTTTCTTTACCGGATCGTAACTAAGGATGAAGTATTGGTCCATCACTAAAACAGAGACACTAAAAAAACAAAAAAACAAACAAGCATTTGATAGTATTGCGGGCAATACAGTAGTCCCCTACCGGTCCCTCAAAAAGTTCTTTAATTGTCATACACTCCTGTGTATTGCCATTTATAATGAATTTGAGGAAAATATCGACCACAAAACATAATAAAATAAGTTTGTCTATATCACAGTAATGTGTTAAGTTTCCATGCTTAGTAAGGAAATTATGTTTATACAACCTTGTCATATTATTACGATGTGGGATTTTAAAGTAAATCCTATAAGGAATGAAGAAGTTGGAGTGAAAATACCAGTTTCTCGAAAAAAATCTAAGTTCAAGGGGGACATAATTCTGGAAATAGTCTTGCTAGAGTATTTAACCTTCTCAAAAATGTCGAGTGATAATAAGAAACATATATATATGAAGTTTGAAGTAGATACATTAGGAAATAAAGAAGTTATTTAAAAAAGACAACATTTTTTCCCCTAAAAAATCTAAGTTCAAGGGAGGTAATATTGATATTTTTTGTGCTAGAGTTATAAACCTTGTCACATATGATGTGGTTGATGACCAGGAACTTATATTTAAAGTTTGAAGTAAACACCTTAAGAAATAAAGAACATATAGTGAAAAAGCTGAAAAATTTAAATAAGAAATCTTGAAATTCAGGCTATTTGTTGCCATAGCAACCAGAATTTTCAACATAGGAAGAAAAGAAAAAGATGTGCATAATCTCCAGACTGCCATCTACCCATATTTCAAGTTTCATAAAAATATTTTCAGTACTTTTTGAGTTATCACTGGATCCAGTTTATGTGTTAAATTTGCCATATTTTCAGACTATTTGTTGCCATAGCAACCAGAATTTTCAACATAGGAAGAAAACAAAAAGACGTGCATAATCTCCATACTGCCATCTATCCATATATCAAGTTTCATAAAAATATTTTCAGTACTTTTTGCGTTATCGCGGGATCCAGTTTTGTGGACGGACGGACTGACGGACTGACAGACTGACAGACAGACGGACAGACGGACAGACAGACAGAGGGACAGACGGACGGAGGGTAAACCTAAAGTCCCCTCCGGTTAAACCGGTAGGGGACTAAAAAAAACATGCATTGGAAGCATCCTTGCTCATCCTCTTCGACAAAATTCAAGAGGGTGCTATCAGCAGGGAAGATGATTAATTCAATAACATGTATTTTGGGACAATAAGGAGATAATCAAGATTGACTATCTTGACCAAGGTCGTATTATAAAATGTACGTACTCTGCAGACGAATTGTGACGTCTGCGTCAAGAAATCACGCGTTAAAGTAAAGGTAAACTGACTCAAGGCGTTCTGCTCCTGCATTACAATGCGCAAGCTCACACATTCCAAATTGCGAGCGATGGCTACTGCAACTTACTGCGGCTTTGAAATTCTTCCCCATCCTGCAATTTCTCTTGACTTGGCCCCCTCTACCTATTTCCGAAACTGAAAACCAAAATTCGTGGTAGAAGTTTTGGAAGTAATGAAGGTGGCATGGAGGCGGTCAATGAGTTCAATGAGGACCAAAAAAGAGAGTTCTTTTTTGAACGGTTAAACAAGTTAGAACAGAGGTGGGCTAGGTGCATTGATGAAGAAGGCGGTTATATTGAAATGTAAGACCATTAGTTGGGTTATCTTAATACTGGAAGTATATCGGTCCGAACACCTTTTGATCAATCCTCGTATATGAACAAATTTAAATCAAATCAATATGAGGACGCTGCGATGTTCTTATCAACGTCCAGGATGGTAAAGGTTGTTGTATGTATCCTCATTTTGCGGATATACTATTATTGACATGTAGTTTCTTGAGGAATAATATAAATGGAACATTATTTCATATTTTACAGCTCCGTACATTCAATCAGAGATGTTATATTTCCGATTTTTAAAGATTGTTCAGCATTACATTATTGTTGTGCTTGTGGGAATTTAGTTCTTTCTATTTGTTTTTTTTTCTTGTTGGGTGGTTCCAGTATTCCCTACTGGAATACTGTTGAATCACCCTCAAGATATGTGGCCTGCTTTTTTAATTTGTCTGTTGACGTCTCATCTGTGATATGCAGGCTTCATAACATCTGATTCCCGTTAAAAATTCCATATTATTTAGTTCCACCCATTGTTTTCTCGTTTAGGGCACACGCATTTCTTTACTTTGGGATCATGTGCCGCTTTTATTGGAATGGCACTTACGTGTCACATTGAAAGTTCCATGATGACGCCATATGAATACATCTGCTGATGTTTCAAAATTCAAAATTGTACCAGTTCATAGTAAATGTTTATTTCTGCTTAAGCCGGTGCTATGGGGTATGGACGGTAGTTTGCACATAACAGTACTGTCCATGAAAAGGCTCAATCAAACCAAGCCTGCAACATTTTCAATTATGCCGTTTTGGGATTTCTTTAGGGATTCTTATTTTGCTCTATTTTATACTGTATTTATGAAAACTAGGTGAAATGTTGACTCACATGTGAGGCAATTTATACATTACACTTGTAATACTTGTTAAGTGTTGTTTATCATAATGACGATGACTATATGGATTGCTTATTATCATTGTATATGGAGTCAATGAGTTGTTAATCGCACCATAAAAGTTTTATGACCACTTTCAAACGGGACTTTTGGAAGAAGACCGGAAGTGATCCTCCATGCAATACTTCAGTCACAAACGGGCATCTAAATAAAATCACCGACGTTCCGTTAAAAGCAAGCTAGATAGCTTCTTCATATGAAAGAATCGGAAGTTCCGGGCAGGTTTCGACCCCAGCACGATGTGCAAAAAAAAGTTTAAACCTCTCGACTACGGCACCCCGTATGGTCAATAAATGTATAACATACATTTACTCAGAAATCATGACATTAAATTTTACTATTTTGAACATGGGTTCAATCAGACGAAACAAATTTCAAAACTATAATGACAATATTACAATAAAGACATGTAACTTGATCCAGTCCTCTAAACATGACACATCATTCGCGTACAAGAAAGGGCAAACATAAATTTTTCATTTACTGCTTTAGACGAATAACATTCGAACAATCCCTTTGTATTTAATGTATATAAAACAAACAATCTATAACAATAACAGACCAGTAAACAAGTTATTTTTCATTTTATCCTCCGAATCCTCTTTCAGTACCAAACTTATAACAGCTATCTCTCAGTTTGATGGAGTAGATTCAGACAGATGTCTAGTTAGATATTTATATAATTCTCGCGCTTCCATTCTATCGTCAGGTGTTTTCAAAATTGCAATCCAGCGATGTAATACATCTTCATTTTCAATATATTTCTTCCCAAATATTTCATGTTTCATTATAAATGTTACTAAATTCTTTTTTAAATGCTCGAATCCTAATTCACCAAGACATTTAAGAATTCTTGTTAATCTCTCTTGATTTTGCTTTGATCTGAAAATGTAACACAATCACCAATACCCTTTTTAATAATTATAAACACTTAACATTGTTATTATGATAATTATCATTTTGCAATGAAAATGCCTTTTATTCATTAACTTTGATACTTACTTATTATAATTACAAGGATTTTTCATTGAATTGAAAGAAGAGATACAATATTAAACAAGGTATTTTGCATATGAATGTGATCCAATATCAGTCAGTTAAGAAGTATTATTTTAGATAAGAATAAACACCCTTTACCATTTCCCATGATTTACATAATCATGATTATGTATACTATAAACATTATGTGAAATTTTCTTTAATTTTCAAGTGTAAGAATGTATAATCAAAATGATTTTACCCGATGGGATTCTCAAATATTTCCCGATTATCTGAAATTGTTATTGTACCATCTCTTTCATTTTCAAGTTTCATTCCATAGAAGTCTAGCATCATCTTGTATGATAGTAAAAATCTATCTCGCGCCTCCTTACAATCCAAAATGTTCTGTGATAAAATAATTTCGTTAAAATGAAATACTTTTGAATTGCTAATACTTTTGAAAAAAAATCAAAGAAAGAAAAAGAAAAAAGAAAGAAAGAGAAAAATAGTCAACACAAAAATATCAAAACAAACAACAAGAAACAGAAACAACTTGCATACCATCGATTTTGTTTCCTTCAAATGTTCACATTATGTTTAATATAACTGCAAAGAATAAAACAGTTTTTTAATACACGAAATATAAAAGCTGCAGTGTATACCTTTATTTCATGTGGTAACAGTTCCTGTGCATTTCTGTCACAACTCTTTTCTCTAAGGGGAAACAACCTTATAAATGAAAAAAAATATTTTTAAAGAATGTTGCGTTTCCTTCTTATTTAAAATTCAGGATAGTAAAAGAAGAAAAAACAATATAGTTTATGAATTACTGTTGCATTTCATTCATAAATTAAACAAATTAGACTTTCGTTTTTGTATGGTAATATGGTTAGTATTTTTGCATGTAAAATACTGAAAGCTGTTGTAACAAATACATTTTGAATTGACTTAAAACTATAGGTGTCAAGTAAGTATATGTACAGTCAATAAACGTTACATGCTTTATCCGCGAAATATAATATTATGTGATTCAGATAGTGATTTATACGCTGCCATGCATCACAGTTTCTTAGGATATTTGCTATTTAACTCAATTTTGAATCTTTGTAACAATATTACCTACCAATGCATTTACATTTGATCTTCTTCAAACCGTTTGTAATCACCCTACCATTCTTTGTGAATATTATCAATGTAATCACCTATAAATATGGTAGTGAGAAAAAACTAATTACAGATTGAGATAAAACCGAGACATTAAGCTTAAACTAGTTGATAGAGACTGGTTTGCACTCTTTATTATTTCTCATTTACAGATAAATAGAACCAAGGCTGCCATTTTCAACCAATTGTTTTTGATGATGTTTTTTTTCCTTCTCAATTATCTCAAGACTTTTACCTTTTAAATGCCGTGTACGTATAAGGAAATGTTTCTACTACAAAATATATAAACTCGCTCCATGAGAATTCCATATTTTACTCAAAACCTGACCATTATGTCATTAGCTAAACATTAACTATACCAATGCATAAAATTAATTTTACAATAAGTAAAAGAGAAAAGCATTTACTTGAATTGTTTCTTTCTTTAAAGCGAATTTCGCTGAGGATAGCCATATTCTGAACTATTTGATATGTTACAGTGTTCTCTCTCGGTGTTGTTCAAGTAAAAATAATAATAATAGATATCATACTCTAAAATGAATATTTTACCTTGGGGTTTTAAAGGAATCATATTCATGAAAAATTCGTAATTTGCGTTCAGATTAAGATCGTCTACTTGGCCCTGGAACAAAGTTTATTTCTTTTCATAATAAGCGAATGGTTAAGCGTTTATTTGTTTATTTTGGATTTGTTATCAGAATTAGAACATAGATTATATGGTGTCGAATGTTTGTTTATATATATACAAAGTACTTATTTCAAATGTTAACAGCACAAACATAAGTTGACAACTGTATAAGCAAGTTTTTTATATTTATTTCACCGTTTGATGATCCAATAATAATTTTGAAGAAAACGTTGATTATTCAAAAAGCTACCTTAGTATAAACATTTTTATACAACATGTATGATAAATGCATCAAGATATTCTTGCATTTTATATTAAGCATTCAATCCTAGCTGTTTTAAAATTTGGGAAAAAACAGCATAAATACTCACAGGATACCCGTCAATATACTCTTTAATGTCATCCTTGGCATGTTTACTCTGTGAATATGTAAAAAAGTACAGTGTGATATGCATCAAACATAAATTACTCGTAAAATGAATTAAATAAATTTCTTGTGGATTGATTGTTCAGATGAATTAGATGATACTTATGTATGCTTCCAAGTGTATCTGCCTTCTTCTTATTACCTTAAGTGATAATAAAAAAATGAATATGGAAATTTAGAAAGCCAGCAACACTTATATAATATTATTCTGAGTAAAGCAAAATCAGATTAAACGATGATTTGGGTCAAATGACTACTTGGTGTTATCTTATATATACTTATTTTGATACAGATGCATACAAATCCAAATTACACATGTTGAATATGAAATTTAAAAGTAAAGAGACAAATACTTTATTTGGCCATACTTGTAAATAAAACAGCATGTTATAAATTATTTCTTTTAAAACACTTTTAAACAAAACAGCTGCCATGTGAACATTTTTCGTCCTAGAGCATATGGTAATACAATAAAAAATAAAACGAATAAAATATCAAGTTTGTGTGCTTCAATGCCCATTATGTCCCATAAATGCTTTTATTTTTCAAAGCTTTTCATGTTTGATGTACTGTTATAGTTTCAAAACAAGGTACTTTATATGTACAGTTTTAGTGATCTATGATTGTGTATATAGTAAAAACTTAAAAAATCATCTTCTCTAAATTCACAAAGGCTAGAGCTTAGATATTTTGCATGAAACATTGTGTAGTGAACCTTTAGCAAGATTGTACAAATTATAGCCCTGGGGTCAAAATTGGCCCCGCCCCGGGGGTCATTGGTTTTCACTATGTACATCTGGAATTAAAATAACTTCTTGTTTACTATGCTACATTAATGACGAATAATTGAATATTTAGCGCTATTTCCACCAGGTTATTAGCATTCAAGCATCTAGAATGCTTTAGAACCATTTTGCGAACGTTATAAAACTCAGTTGTGCTCATTCTAATTAAGGAAACAAAAAGAAATCCCCAGAGCAGGACCCACTATAGGAACCATGGCCTTGACGTGTATCAATGGCAAGGTATTACAAGAATATAGAAATATAAACAAGTACTTTCTGATATTCTCAGTGAACCTTGATATTTAAAAGAACAACAACATTAGTTAATGACCAGTCAATGTTCGGACGGCAATACGTCAGGACGGACCGTACAAAATCTATATGTCTCCCGAGTTTGGGGGCATTATATTTTTGAGGCATCACGTTCATTTAACATGGAGCAAAAGGAGACATAAATGTCAAAATCATGAAATATCATTATCATTTAGTTACTTGGAAATATATCTATTTCTTAGCGACCGAAAGCTGCTTTTAATAAGTGATTTATATCCAACGTCGAATGATGGGAGAGCGGGGGCCTAGTTGTTAAGGTGTCTGCCTCTCAACGCAGGGATAATGGGTTGAGACCTAATCGGATCACGGTCATGTCTGTTCTTAGAACAATAAATGATTAATGTTTAACGTCGGAATGGAAGAGCGATGTTAAGGTGTCTGTTCTGAATCCAGGAATAATGGGTTCGAGACATAATTAGATCACCGCCATGTTTTTTCATAGGACACCAGTCCTGGCTGTTTTGAAAGTAATTAATATAAGTTGCAAGAACTTCCGCAACCGAGCTGAAATAAATATGTTTAAACAAACGTCGGAATGGACACTTCAAGGATTATTCAACTATGTATGTTTTCACATACGAGTTATTTAACAATTACGCAAACCAATTTTAAACATTAACATTCAAACTTAGAAAATGCTGCGATGAAACGCTATGATTGTATGGGTGCAATGTATTTGAAATATTTATTAACTCTTGGTATCTTAAATGGTTTTATACCACTTATTATTCATACAGATCAGTGGCAAAACACTTACTACATTCATTTGAAGACGTGAAGCGATAAGTAAATATTATTTTTAAGATAGTGAAACATAAAACGTATTTGTGTTGCGATTCATTGTTTTTTTTTCTGTTTCTTTTTATTAATAATATTTGTATTTTGTTTAATTTATAACATATATAGATATTTCTGTGTCATCTGGTTTAAAAACCCCTCTTTCTTCTTTCGCCTCACGATATTGACCTGATGTTATGTCCGAGCTACAATATACAACTTGCGATTTCTTAAATCATAAACGTTTCGCTTGTGCAATTAATTGGCTGCTGTAAACGTATTGAATCAATTGTATTGGTATGTCCTCTCCCGTCTTTAGAGATCATTACATTTTCTGAAACACTGACATATTATACCTTGAGATAAAAGACTGGCGTAACAATTTCTGTCCAAATCTTGGCTTACCCGAGGATTGAATAGGCATACTGGTCAATGTGTTCATGCACTTAAATCAATCCTTGTATGATAAAACAACAAAACGCCTGCCCACTTTCCTTTATAAAAATATGTTAAATCTTTATTGTTCTATAAAGCTTCATTGGTTTTATGCCAATTCTGTAAAAGTTCTTTTATGGGAAAATGCATTCCAAGTCATATACGAGTACTAAACAGCCGATTTAGTTTTTAAGTGTTAGTTATAGTTTGTAAACCTGAATTTATTCTTTTTGCGCGATCACTTATCTGGTCTTTTTTAATATTTGAACTCTTGAATTAATTCTAAAGATTATAATCCAAATTGTTTAAGTGACAAGTATGTATTTACATGGTTAAACAATGTTTACCGTGTTCCTATAGTGTGCATACTTTCCTTTTGCGAAAATATCTGGAATTGGAGAAGAGTTTCTTTGTCACCTTCCGCATTCAGTACCTGCAATTGAAGTGTTAATATCTCTCAATCACATATCTGTAAATCATAATTTTATCATTTTACTTACATAATGATCGGAGTTGAGAGCGTTAACAAAATTTAAAAAAAAAGAATTTACAAATCTTGTATGTTTTAGGGTGTTCATATAAGAAAATGAAAAGAGAAAACATAATTCAAGCACTCTAGAACTTTTTTTGAGGAAATTTCTATTTTCTACACTTAACGTATATGATCGCCAAATGGTTCAGAAAAGTATACTAACGCTCGCTTGGCAGCTTTTTACGACTGTAACGAAACGTATTATTGTACACTTGCAATTGAGAGCGTTCTCAGACCCGAAAAATAAATGAAAATGCAACACGTTTCTTTCCCTTTCATTGTTCTTAATATTTAAGATTTGCACGTATAGAGCCAAAATATGTTATAATATATATGCTTATGGGTCTATTACTTTTATTTATATAAATGTATATTTAATTTCATATCGTGATTTCAATAGTACAATATAATTAATCAAACTTTATAACCACTGTTTGTTTTTGCAAGCAATATAACGTCAAAACCTTTTGAACGTTTTCAATTCGTCCACGAGTATTCCTCAATTGAGTTTTCACAGCCGGTGTGATGTCACATGAGGCTAAATCAGAGTCAATCGCTTGAATCTGGTTTTCAATGAACATCTCAATTTCGATTTTGTAATTATGTGGTTCAAAGCTCAAAGGCATTGCCTGAAAAATGTGGAAATACAGTATTGTAATTTATTTTAGAAAATATAAATGCTATTTTTTTA